TTTCATCTATTCATAATAAAGATCTTGTTTTGTTTGAATGATCAATGAACAACAAATAAATGAATAATTTATATCAAGAATTTTTTGATATATTTTACTGAATTCTAATAAAAACACTCGAGACTGATAATATTATTACTAAATACGCTACAAGTGTATCACTTAGAACAAAGGTTTTTTCAAATATTTTGTTTAATATAAAACAAATCGATGAAAATAATTAAATGATTATGAAATCGATTAGAAATAAATAATCAATAGCACAATTCTGTTCGAATATTTTGCTGAATTTAAGAAAAATATAAGATTCTTAATTGATCGTTGTTAGTTTTCAAAGAAAATTTATAATTTATAACAAAATTCTATTCAAATATTTCACTAAAACAGAAGTAAGTACATGCAAAGTTTATTCTTAAATTGATGAATACGAAACAAATAAATAATTCATAGAAACATTTTATTGAAATTTTTAAACTCATTTCTAACTAATATTTTCCAGATCTTTATATAATCAACTTTGGGTGTGCATGTTGGTATGAATGTGGGTGTGGGTTCTTTTCTTAACTCACATCCACACCCACACCCTTCTGTTCTTCAACAAAACGTTGACACTCACAATCTCTTCTCTTGATAGTTGAAATTAAAGAAGAAATTCGAAATGATATTTATTTTATTTTGATTATTTTTGGCAGTCTTTCAAAGAAAAGTACGACAGTGAAAAAATGATGAATGTAAGCAGCATATTTTATAGACAGAGCTTTCAGGAAATACATTTAAAAATTGAAGTATGTAATTGTTCATTTCAAATTGGTAACATAGCTTTTTTGTTTGTTCAAACATAACCTAAGATTTGAGCTTCGGCGTATTGAACACAATCTGCAAGACCTCTTTGCGAAGTAATAAGCAATCGATAACTTCTAAAAGCAATTGTATTTGAGAAATTTTGTTGAGGCACATATCTAGAACGAGCAGGAGCAGTTGTAGAATTAATACCTGTTGGACCACTATATATCAATGTCCAACTTGAGCCAAGATGAAGTGCTTCAATAGTTGTTACATTTGTTCCTTCAAGAGTTACTGTAATTGGATCACGATTTGGAAAATCGTTTGCAGTTGCAAAACGAATAGCAACAGCCACAGAAGCATTACTTATACTCGGCACTACGAAAAAACCAGTATTTGCTCCGGAATTATTTCTAATGTTTTCAGGAGCACCATTATTTCCAAAATTAAGATATTTCGTGCTTAAGAAACCATCAATAGCCTTTGGAGGTTGTTCAGAAACAGTCGAATATACACCGTTATCACCACCCGTCGATTGACCAGCTGAAGTACTATATAAACCGACGATGATATCATCTAAATTCGTTATTGAAACAATTTGTTGTGAAGGTAAATAACTTGTTGTTGGGTGAGTTATTGTTTTACTCATAGTTGTAGATTCTACTCCTGTTGAAATTATAATTGTCGCTCTTGCTGATGTTGAATTTCTACTTGTTGCCCCTATTATTGTTGTCATAATGCTTGGCATGGTCGCTGTTATAAGAAAGCGAGAAAAATATTATCTATTGATTTATTAGATGAAAACTTTATGGCAATGCAGTATACGGCAATTCATGGTTTGTTGTTTTATTAATGGTTAATTTGGCTATTCTAACGACTATCAGAAATAGGGAATTTCGACTTAAATTTCTTTCAAAGTGGAAAAATAAAGTATTGACACTCATCCAATCACTGAGCGAGATTTTTTCATAATTTTGTGACTGAAATTAATCCAAGTAGTTTCTTGAAATATATGTATCTTATATTTTCGAACCTTGGGGCAGTAGATCTTATTATCGAAGTCTATCAAACAAAAAACGTTATATATTGTTGAATTTGAACAGGTCTACTCTTATTTATTTGTTTTCTAATTTTCAAAATTTCACTAGTCTTATTCTAAGATTATCAACCATTGTAATTACATAAAATTCTCTAAAGATAAATGGAAACATTGCAATTTTCTTGCAAGTTTATTTCAAGTTATATAAAAAAAATAGATCAAGAAAACACCATAAATAAAGCACCTTGAAATATTTTTCTTAATAGGAATAAGTAAAGCTGACTCAAGCCAGTGAAGAAACCTAAAATTTTCATCAATCTTAGTCGAGAATCTTTCGACAGTTGGATAAACATTTTATTGACTTCATTTTATTGACTGACAAAAGCATGAAGAAAATACATCCATGTTCGATATCTTTGAAACTGAATGTATCCATTTTTATGAAATGTACTAAAACCAAAAAGAAAAAAATTATAGATTATCTTAGTTGTATACCTTTATTTATCCCTTCTTTTGCTCTTAACTGCTGAAGGATGGATTCGTTTCGAATGTGTCTATAAGTAGATATCAATCTATGTGAACCATTCACACTCGATCTAACTCTTTCTATGTCTAACTATTTGCATCACTGTCTATTTATCAATCGATCTAATTATCTACTTAAATTCCGAAGCAATAGCTTCTCTCATTGTCTCTTATAATCTGAATGATATCTCTTTAGATCTCGGTGAACATTCAATACAGATGGTTTTCAACACTGGTTTTATTAATTGAATAAATCCATTGATAATATAAAATCAACTATCAAAAAGGATTAGGGTTTATCAGCAATGCAATTAAACTCCAAACACTTATCAAGTTAATAAATGGATATGAAAAAATTCACAAAAAAGATGATAGATCAAGTCTTGACGCTTTTTAAAAATACTTTTCAGAGTATCTTGGATGTATTGACTTTACTTGCGACCAAGACTAAATCTTTATATCTTATGATTTAGGATTTATATACGATATAAAACGAGCAAAATTTCTATGAGGTCAAATTCAAAATCTGTTAATCTTAACTTTTATCAATATCTGAACATCTTTCTTGGAGCTTTGAAGAAATCGATATTTAGTTTCTATTCGATTCATGAACTAGCAGAAGTCGGTGCAGGGTCAAAGCTGAATTCTATTCCATAGATAACCTCGAAATCTACGTGTCCTATTCTTTGGAAATATTTTTTCCGAAATTTCGAGAGTACCATTAGATAAAGGAGCATGGAGGTAGATGAATTCAAAAGTCATGCCATCATCTATACTTGCACCCCAATCCATATTCTCGTGTCAGTAAAAAGAGAAATATTTATTTGCAAGTGACAGATACATTCCCAGAACTATATGATATAGTACATGAAAGTCGAATTCGAAAATTCTTTTTTATTTATGGTCAGATGTTGTTATACTTAAAAATGAATATGAAATAATTTGGTTTTAAGATAACTGATAAGCGAATCTGTACTTTGATGAGGACCAGTCAAAATAAAGGTTTACGAATCCAGCTCTGGTGTTCATCCTAACTGGTAGCCGTAAGATCTATGCAATTATTACCATTAAAATCATCAATAACAGCCTAAAAACTCGCAGTTCTTAGTTTATATTAGTATGAGTGATTGAATGTAAGATAATTATTGAAGTGATCTGCATAGTAATAAATATCATCTACTTTGTAGTGCACATGTGTTGGAGAGAAAACTTATCTATTTTATATGTAGAAAACTATTCCTAAGAATTCTCCTCTTACTTTCGATCTACATTGAAGAACTACAGTAAAAGTTTGAATCTCTTTTTGAAAATAGGAAACAGTATATGAACTTATACTTCTAGTAATTTAATTTAAGAGTCTCAAGATAATCTTTTCTTGAAAAATAATAAGTTTCTCACAGACCACAATGAATTCCAATGTATTTAAGGCTTTTCTAACATCGAGCAAGTTTATTTGATTCTATGTAGCACGATATAGTTCATATGTCATAAAGTAGAGTTGAAATGTGCTTTATAAAGTAACCTATTAAATGATAATGATCTGTGTTGTGTGTTCACTATACGTAGACATTCAATCGAAAAAAAGTTATTGAACGCCGACACATTACGTCAATAGGTTGTGAAATTTAGAAATTCAAATTGAAAGAATAATGATGTTAAGCATTTTTTTTCTTAAAACAAACAAAAATACTCATCGATGACATTTGCTGTTATACTACTGCTTCTCGTCGTCATACTTTCCGTAATGATAATGTTACTACTCATATTGATTGATGAGCTACCTGAAGTGTGCTGAATGAGCTGTCTTGTTAGGATATATTTTACGAATCCTCGATAACTCTTTTAGATCAACTCTTGCTACTAATCTGGTGAGATTCTCATGATTTGTGTTACGGTGATAGTCGGCACCATTGTAAACCAAAAGACATGTCGTGAAATGAAGATGTACAGGTCTTTAAAAATAACAAATTTCAAAATTTTTACGATATCGGAAATCGCCAGAATTACAGGATGATTTATAACAATAAAGCTCTGAATTTGGAAATTCTTAAAAAGCATTCAATCAACGGATACTTGAAAAGTAAATCGAATGATTATACATGTAGAACTTCAATTTTCAAAATGTACGAACAATCCTTTCTAAATGTCCTGCGAAGCAGGGGCATTTATGTGGTCCTTCGTGAGTTTTATTTTAGATTTTAATTTCTCAACCTACACATAAAAGTTGTCATTTTGTGTTTGAATGATCTCGAGAACGGAGAGTCACAAAAAAACTGGTTCAAACGTGAACTACAAGTATCGAGATTGAACTTGCACCTCTTTTAGTCAGACCATCTATAGAGCCTATAGATCATCTACAATTAGAGCTCTAGAATCACGATTTTGACAAAGTTGACCTTTTAGATAATTAAAACGAAAATTCAAAAGAAAAGTTAGGTGCCAATTTGTTTACTAATATTTGAAACAGCTGTCAATTACAGCTGATGGTAGATAATGAATCATTGACATAATTAATCGATCAATAGAAAGCAGTCTGTGGAAATGTGTCGATAGACTGTCATAGAGTTTCTATAGTAATGAATTTTATAATGGACAGCTTTCATCTCGAATTCAGATGAGATCAGCTGCTTGATAAAGATGAAAAAAATTTCTATTTTACGGAGTCAGTACGGCTTGTCCACGTAACGCGCTATTTCGCTGATTACGTTTCAAAAACTTTTTTTTCTAGTTTGATACAACCAAATAGACTACCAGATGTAGGTTTTAACGCTGATCACGAATTTAATATTTGTTTTGTACAAAAATCAGACTTTGGCATCGAAAACTGGATTTTAAGCGTTTCAAAAATTGTATTTTGAAATTTTTAATCAAATTTTTTTTCAAAAACCATCGCATTGACATATAGTTCGATGCAGAGTTTCATTCTCTATAAAATGGTGCATTTTATTTTGATTTTCGTAGCTAAGAATGATTTAGAGACTCATGCGAAGTTTCCAACTGACTCTGTGGGTTATGAGACTCCATGTCGATATATGGATCCTATTGTTGTATAGAACCATTAGCTCTATCGAGCCGAGCAACATATGTAAAAATCTAATCATTTTAGACATGCTAAGTGACCTAAATCGATGATCAAAAACGCTGTGTCACAGTGTTACGTTTGTTTTTTCGATTTTTTATCTAAGAACAAATAGTTTAGAGAAAATTATTTTTAGCATTATAAAGCTCATTCGAAACTCTACAAAACTGATCCTTGAAGTATTTCATTTGAAAACATAATCACCTATAAAACACGGATTTTAGAAAAGCTTCTGAAGAACAGGGTCCTTTTTTGTCACAGCGTTATGCGACCGAAAAATATTTCTAGAAGCTCAAGAGTTTAACCGAAAATAGTCATTTTTATAGCATAAATACAGTGCGATAAGCGTCATCGAATGACTTTTGAACGAACTTTCTAAGCCACACAGTTTCCAAGATAATCAGAAAAAAGTGTGTCAAAAACGTCACAGCGTTACGATTGAACAAGCCGAGTAGCTAATTCAAATAAAAGCAGCGATCAGTATAGTTTAGAAAATCGAATTCTCGTTTTGTAAAAAGAATATTCTCTTTTTCGAAAATTCGAAAGATTCGTACTTCGCAGAGCATTTCATATTCGAAGCGCAGCTCGAATACTATCTAGTTATACAAATATTTTACTTTTTATATCAAGTTTTGCTTGTTTTTAAGTGATGTTCGGTCATTTAGTGGAGATAAAAGTAAGTAAAAGCGCTAAAAGGACTAAAAGCATTAAAGGAACTAAAAGGACCAAAGGCTCTAAATGGACTAAAGGGAGTAAATAAGGTATATAAAAATAAAACAGAATAACTTTAAATTCTCGTGGATCCCTCCCATTTTGATATTATTTCATTTGAAGAACTAAGAATACAGATGCAGCAAAACATACCAAATGAAGTGCTTTTTTCATTTGAATCTAATTCATGGTGGTGAGTTGTGAATACAAGTGGGGTTGTTAATCCACCAACGATCAGTACGCTAATAATTACACCAAAAATAGTCCTTACTTGTTTCTTTTCCATTAGAATTCTGTATAAAAAATTGTTATAGTTGACGAATGATCACTGGTCTTGCGTTCTATAGCAATGTAAAGTTTGTGAATCTAAAAATACCATCACTTTAATACAGCT